AAAAAAAAAAAAAAAAAAAAAAAAAGTAATCTCAGGGGCCAGGACTTCTCTATATCCCACTATTCAAATGATACTGCTGCAGTGGACTTCTCCACCAGTAGCCAATGGCATCCCTTGGAAAAGATCATGGTAAGAGAATGGGAAAAGAGTAGTAGTAAATGGATATAGCAAAGACAACAGAGAAGAGGACAGGAGGTCTCTAAAAATCCCCACACTGGATCAACCCTGGATGTATGGCCAGTCAAAGGAGGAATTACCAAGGAGGAGGAGGAGGCTGAGATCACTCTTGATGGTGGTTGTGATACCCTCACAGGTCAGAGATGGCTTTGCTTTCAATGACACTGACCAGACCATCCTTCTGGGACCATTATACAGATGTTGGGGCTAGGGACTTGTCAGCTCCCTTCAAACTATGGGTAGAATTCTGAGGGTGCTTCTTTTTTCTTTTTTTAGTCAAAAAGAAAATCTTTTGTTTGCTACACAGCTCTGACTCATAATGATCCTCCTGTCTCATCTTCCCTAGTGCTGGGATTACAGGTATGTGCCACCATGTCCAGTTTTGGTAGCTGGCACGGTATGCCCAAGGTTCTGGAGCCAGCATAGCATGTGGTACAGGAGATTGAACCCCAGTCCTTGTGCTTGCCAGGCAAGTGCTTAGATGCCTGAGCTATCTCTCCAGCCCTAGGGTGCTTCTTTTTCACAATCAACTCCAGGGAACACTTCTTTGTGCTTTCAGCATTGTTCTGGAAACCACCCAAAAGCAAGAGATGTTTTTCTCTTTAGATTTGGAATCCCCAGAGAAGACACAATGGCCCTTTCATGAGATTGGGTGTTTCCTGTAAGTGGAGCTAAATCTCTAACTTGTGCATTAATTTACCTGAGAGGAAAATGATACCACGTGGCTGATCTTGACAGGAGCCATGACAGGTCTACCAGCTATCCAAGTACAAGGCAAAATGCTTTCTTTCAAGATTTCTTCTGTTACCACTCTGGTACGGCCTATGTTTTGGTCTCATCAGTTTATAGAAGAACAAGGAGTCCTCACATTATTCCTGAAAAAGAGCAAAAGAAAAATAAACTATTTATAGGTTGGACACAGTTGGGTAGCTCATGCCTATAACACCAGCTCTTGAGAAGCTGAGGCAGAAGGATCACTTTGAGTTTGAGACCACTCTGAGCTATATAGTAGTTCAATTACATATTGAGACCCTTTCTCTTTTCTTTCAACTAAAAACCACTGTGACTATTCCTCTGATTAATAGGAGTTATTTATAGTTGTTGGCCTCTCCTTTTTTCTTTCTTTCTTCTTTCTGTCTCTCTCTTTCTTCTTCCCCTTCCCTTTTCTTTTGTTTCTTCCTATGGTATAGCCTCAAGCATGACGCAAGGTAAGTCATGCGATATATCCTTAACCTCTCAACCATTACTGACAACCACCATGAGCCTGATAGTGTGGTGAGCAGGGAACAGATCTGGAGCACCTCATAAGACTGCAACAAATGTAAAACAACTGGAATCCAACCTCAAAGCAACAGAGCAGCAAGGATAAAATACATTAATATGCTAATATTGGATTTGTACCTAAGTGAGCTCCCAAGAGCATGAATTGTACCTTAAATCGTTCATCTTTAGATTCCTAGAGCCCAGCACATAGGATGGGAAACAAATATTTAATTATTTTTTTAATATAAAATTAGAGAAAATGTTTATTGTCATTTTTTGGAAAATCTATCTGAAAATGTTCAAACTGAATCTTTTTTTTTTTCAAAGTTTTATAGATAAACAGCAATGAGACAGTTTCAAATCAAATCGGAAGTACAGTTTCAACAAATAATACACTGCATATATTCTTCTTAGTGGTTAATTGCTATACAAGATGTGGACATGATAACCTATTTACAAACACCATTAGAACAAATCACTCTATTCATTAAGAGAATGTAACTATATATCTATCCTAACCACTTTGAATACACAGATACAAAATGGACATTCATCTGTATACCCTTTTTTGGTTAAGTTCCGTTATTTGAATATTATAGGTGTGTAAACTCAGCAAAATATTCTAAAAGAGTCCAGTAGCCCATAATAGTATTGGGTCTTCCGCTTCACTGGCAATGTCAGAAATTGTTGACCTGAGTTCCCTACAGCTCAACATAATAGCATGGCTTTACTTCTTATATTTCGTTTTTATACTTTTCTGCTAGATGGTTAAGACCAAGGTAAAGCAGGACCTATGCAGCAAGAGTTGTAGTTTTTGGGTCTGATAAGGTCAGTGAAATTCCCTCAGGATTTATCCTGAGATCCTGTACCTCAGATTGTAGATCCTTTGTCAGTGTCAGCCATGTGGATGAGACACAGCCATTGCTTGGCCAATGTACTCTCTGTGAAAGTCTGAGAGAATGTTTTCTCACCATGTGACTCTCCTTAGGCACACTCTACATCCTCGATCACTTTTCTCTTTGGCCCCATAATTTCCTTGATCAGAAAATTTGGGACACTACCGAGGTACATGACGTTACAGTACAAGTTCTCATATGTCCTGAGTCTTAATTGACCTTAGAAGGCTAGGGCCAAAATGTTGGCTTTCCTTGCAGCCCTCCTTTTTCTCTAATTTTGGTCTGCAAACTTAGGTTGTTAACCATCCAGAAGACAAGCTTATTGTTATTACCATACAACTTAGGCTGTTAAGCTTAACCTCACTATCTGTCTGCATATCAAACATCTCAGGCATAATATGGAACAGGTATTTTTCATCAAGTATTGATATGTTGAACTTTAAGTCCCTACAGAATATGATAAAAAACATTTAAAAATTAGAATATATTTTAAAAATAGGCATAAAGAATTACATACTTCTTATGTTTACACATAAGTCCAAAAATCTCACCATATACAACCTTGAAGCAGGACAGTCCCACAATATTCCTTTTCCTGTCTCTTGCTTTCATTCACCACCCCCTTCTTTTTGAACAACCATCTACCCAAGAGACATCATAGCAGCAACTGGCATGTCATGACAAATATTTAATTAGATATACGATACAATTGTCTTTTGTTCTGTTTAATGAATCATTTTAAATTAACTTTTGGTTAGTTATTCCTCTTTTATATGACTTATGGATGTATGTAACTCCCTTGCTAACTGGTAGTACTTAAATTTTTAAATTTTTTTTATTTTAAGGAAGGGTCCACAGGGTGTTCAGGGTCTCATTACTAGACCAGACTTGTAGTGACCCCGTTTACAGCCTCCCAAGAGCTGTGATAACAGGCACATGCCACTACGCCCAGTCTCGGATTGCTGTCTCAGCGTGTCCCAGGGACTGGGCCAGCATGGTAGGCAAGCAGGCCCAGGGATCACCCTGGGCCCTGTGCCTGCTTCCAGGTGCTTTAAACCACTGAGCTATTTGGCCGGCCCTAGTACTTAAATATTACTTGAGCCTGACCCCTCAAAACACCTAAGACAGAGAGGTTTAATTGGCCCTTAGTTTAAGAGGATTCAGTCTGTGGTAACTGGCTTCACCCTGGAAACACATTGGCAGAGGAGTGTGGTGGGGCAAAGATGCTTAATTCATGGCTTTGAGGATACAGAAAGTGAACAGGGACAAAACAAAGACCCAAAGGCCAAACCACCATAATCCACCGAAACCCAGTCAATTGACATCCCATCCAAACTACTACAATGTATATCCAAACATTTCAAAAATCTGAAGGAAAAAAAAGAAAGGATATTTCACCTGCATATGTTTGTCATTTGATGTGACAAATTTTACCATTTCTCATCACCAACAAACAGATGTCTGATTCAGCCAGTACCCAAACCGCACTTGTGGCTCTGAGACTCTATAAGTATTAATTTGGCTGTTTAATTTAGTTAATATTTTTGGGAATTGTCTAGTAGGTACCAGCACTGTAATAGGTGCTGGATACATGGGGTGAAAACACATACAAATATTTGCATGAAGTTCATCATTTGTCAAACTGCTTACTGTTCACAAGGGATCAAATTCTTTCATATATCGGGCCGGCCAGCTCAGCAGACTAAAGTGGCTGCTTAGGCAGGGCGCAGTGGATGGGGTTCAGTCCCCAGTGTGGCATGCCAGGCCTGCCCCCGGGGTGCACTGACACGGCAACTGAGACTGGGCGTGGCAGTGCTCACCTGTAATCCCAGAGCTTGGGAGGCTGAAAACAGGAGAACCACTGAGTCTGATCTACATAGTGAGACCCTAGAGACCCTGTCCTAAACACACTAAAAAAAAAGAAAAAATCTGTCAGATATCTTTGCCCTTACAAAGGCTGTTCTTGTTTTTTTTTTGTATTTTTGCATGTTTGGCCCAAGTTCCCCCTTGTAATGGACTGAGGTTTTTGAGACTATGGATCCTTTTCATGCTCACCTCCTGCATATCAGAGAATAGGCATTAGTAAATATCCACTAAAAGAGTAGTCCACAATCCAAATCAGAATTCCAGCAGAAATTTCTGGCAAACATGACAAATTCATCAATAAATAACATGTTAGAAACTGCTAAGACAATTCTAAAAAGAAAGTGCTAAGAGTCAGGATATTAAATCTTTTGAAAAAAATTAGTCACTTAATTAAAACATACTGTCTATAAAAACTAGTAAATAGATTCTAGAAACAGACTCATAGATAGGAACTTACATGGGGCCAGGGAGATGGTTCAGTGGAATAAGTGCTTCCCTGGCAAGCGCAAGGGCCTCAGTTCAATCCCCGGTTCCGCCAAAAAAAAGAAGAAAGTAGACCCTACCTTGTAATGTATTTAAAAAGTATACCCCAGTGGATTAAAATATGAATAACAATACCTGAAGATAACATAAACCAGGTTAAAATATAAATTGCTAAACCAGAGATACTTATCCAGAATACATATTTTTATTTATTTACTTATTTATTTGTATTTTAGGGAAGGGTCTACAGGGTGTTCAGCATCTCACTACTTGATAGGTCTCCTAGTGATCCGCCTATTTACAGCCTCCCAAGAGCTGGGATCACAGGCGCTGGTCACCACACCCAGTCTCAATTGCAGTCTCATCACCCCGGGGATCTCCCCCACCCCTGCGCCAGCTTGCAGAGGCTTGAATCCGCTGAGCTATTAAATTCAATTATTATCTGTGTTATTTTATCTTAAAAAAAACAAAACAACGAGGTAAATAAGAGCATACTCAACAATGAATCTGCAATGACTAGATTAGTGTTCATAATCTTCTGTTGATAAGTTTCATGTGATAATTTTTAAGTAAATCAGATGTCTGTAGATGGTATCAATAGTACCTTTAATTTCTGGTTGGCCCCAAATAAAGTTAATTGGCATTTTAGTCTTCTGTGAATCCACAGGATTATCCCAGTCCTATTCACTCGCTAGACACAGTCCTGGAGATGTGTGAGCAGGAACTACAAGCTTATCTGGTATCTAAGTCAGAAGTACAAAGAACAGGGCCTAGAAAAAAGTCACGGGGGTATAAGAAGGGGTAGGGCAAAAGAGGATGGCGTTCAGTAAGAAGGGTATAGGTATGAGCTGCGGACGCAGGATGTGGGAATGGAAAGTACCGTGATGTGTGAAGAGGCCAGACAACCTAATTAAAAAGCAGTTTGGAGCTGGGCGTGGTGGCGCCCACCAGTAATCCCAGCACTCAGAGGCTGAGGCAGGAGGATTGCTGGGAGTTCGAGGCCAGCCTAGGCTACAAAGTGAATTGAAGGCCAACTTATACTACATAACGAGACCCTGTCTCAAAAAGACCACACACACACACACACACACACACACACACACAAAAGTAAAAAAGCAGTCTTGATGGCCACACCTTATCATTTACGGGCACTCCCCTTCCCATCAATAACCCGCAACGCTCCTCACCCAGGACCTTGAACCTCAAGGAATCACAGACGACGTCTCAAACTGGCACCACAAACTTTCTCCCGCCAATGCCGCCCTCTCGGAAGACCTCGGTCTTCTGACTCTAAAGAGCCACTCTCTGCCTCCCGAAGCTTAAGAATTCGTTCTGGGGTCTAAAGAAGTTACAGTTTCTTGAGAATTGATTCCCATAGAGTCAAAAAACCAGGTCTACAGCCAGAAAAGTACACGTAGAAGAATTTTTTAAAAATCTATTCTCACTCACAATTCTCCGGTCCCAAGAGCTCAGGGTAAACTTCCAGGTCGTATTCAGTGCATTCTGGGAAATGTAGTCCTTAATCACAACGCCTCGCTCGTTAGAGCCCAAGTGAGGGAGCGTCGTAAAATTTCTCATTTAGGGGCTTGCCCCTTTGGCTTTCCAAACTGGGACTTGATGAAATATTTGCACTAAAAATAATACAAGCCAAAATTTTCATTGTCCAACAATGTCTTCTGCCGAAGCTTGGAAATGTACAGGATCCTTCTTTAATAGTGAAGTGAGTAACAGGTAGATGGTCTCTTAGTCTCTGACAGGTCTCCGCCATCTTGATGCTCCGCCCCCTCGGCTGGAGTCCACCTCACCGATTGGCTAGGGTCCCTTGAGCGGCGGAAGCAGCTGGCTAGCGCGGGTACGTGGGGAGGGGGCGAGCCTTGAAGATGGCGGCAGTGGTGGAGGTGGATGTTGGAGGAGGTGCTGCTGCGGAACGAGAGTTAGATGAGGTAAGGGGATGAGGAAAGGGGAGACCCAGCCTGAAAATGAAAGGAGGAAAAGTGAGGTGTTGGGAAAGGGAGTCCTAGGAGTGACGGGAGGCATCCTGAGAGACAAGAAGGTGGTGACAGGGGCGCGGGTGCGCGAGGGACTTTTGACTCGGGGACCCCGTGGCAGTCGCGAGGGTATAAGATATGCAGTGTCCTCATGGGTGGACATGGAGGGCAGGGAGAGCTGCTGGGGAAGTTGGAGTGTTAGGATTTTGGGATATTACTTGGGGGTCGTAGGGTAGGACTGCAGGGTTGACAGGTGATTTAAGAGTTAGAGGGGCGTGGACTCCTGCGAGAGGCCGGATTTTCAGGTTTTGAGGGGACTCAGCTTGCCATTCAGGTCGAGGATGCAGACTTGGAAAGTGCTTATGTACTAGAGTTGCAACTTTGACTTATTTTTACGTAGGAACTATTTTATTGTTTATTCTCGCATTTTAGGACTTTGTACAGTGATCTGTGTTCAATAAAGTTTGGTCAACTAAAGAACGCATGAGTTATTGTATCCCGGAAATCGTCCACTCACTCACTTAACAAATACTAAATATCATCTTTGCATTGGGTCCTGGGCGAGGTGCTAGGAATAAAAAGAGACCCTCCCCTCGTTAAGACCACAGAGTAGTGGTGGGAGACAGACAAAAAGACCAGTAATCGTGGCAGCAGAGTAGAACGGTGGCACTAAGAAGGAACCACTTCAATTTGGGCTAGACTTTCTTGACTTGTTGAATCTAAAAGGATGAATGATAGTTCCTCGTTTTTATTTATACATTTACCTTTTATTTTGAGACAGGGTCTCACTAAGTTGCTCAGGCAGTACTTGAACTTGTGGTCCATCTGCCTCTACTGTGTCCAGCTTGTTAGAGTCGTCAGTCATTATCTCTCTCAGTCTGTCTGTCTCTGTCTCTTTCTCTTTCATTTTTGAGTTCCCTGAAGGTGAACTTTTAGTGTTCTGATGGTATTTACCTATTTAATAGGAATTTCACAACTGATAGATTGAATTACCAGTGGTCTTTGAAGGACTTCTGGGAGGATGGAGGCATGAGTTTTAAAAGAGGCAGTGAGAGAAAGTGAGAAAGGAAAGGGGGAAAAAATTCTGAGGCCTAAGGGACAGTGAAAATTAGGGTTGCTTGTGGTCTTTCAGTGGACAGCATATGGGATAGGAGGAAAGGTGATTGCCAGGGGTAGAACTAGTGGGATCTCTGAGGTTAGAATCTTAGAAACCTTTGACCTTCGTGGAAGGAGAGTTGGGAGAACTGATGATGAAGCTCAGAGAGAGGAAGTGGAATTAGGAAGCAAGGACTGTTATTCAGTGGTAGGTTCACTTGGTTGGTATAAATATTTGGGATCATAATAGTTGAGGGAAGAGACTGAGAAATTGGCAGGTGGTCCAAGCACAGGAGAATTAATTTAGGACTGTAGTTCCCTATCTCCCAATCACTGGAGACTAGAGGTGTTTGAGTATTGGTTGGTGAGGGAGGGTGGTTGTGGAAATGACCTTCAAGGGCCCTTCTAGCTTTATGTTGCTGTTATTACATTTGGCTGTAGTTCAATAAGATATATTTGAAAGCACCTGGAAAAGAATATATACTGTGTTGAAGTTATTACTTACGGTTTGTTAGTTGGGGGGTTTCTTTTAGACGGTTGCATCTGTCTCTTTTTAAAATTATTTATTTATTTGATATAGGGTCTTGCTACGCAGCTAAGACTCAGTGATCCTCCTGTCTCAGTCTCCCCAGTGCTGGGATTGCAGGCATGTGCCACTACGCCTGGTTTTGTGGCTGGCACAGAGTGTCTGGGGTTTTGGGGCTGGCACAGCAGGTATTACAGGGCATCGAACTCGAGTCTTTGAGCTTGCCAAGCAGCTATCTCCCCATGCACATTTGTCTCTTTGAAAGAAAGATTTAGTTATATATATCAGGGTTAACAGAGATAAAGAGCAAAAGTTTTAGAAAAGGAGAAAAATGAAAATTTTCATTTAAGACATTTTCATTTAAGACATCCTAATGTCTGGAAATTCTATAGAAACTCATTCTGTCCTTCTCTGTGTGTGTTTAAGAAAGTACTTCTGAGAAGCAAAAACAGTCTTCCCCTTCAATCTGAAAGAACAGAGATCTGGTCTGGCAGACTTTAAGTTGTGTGTGCAAGTTTCCCTTAATGTCTACCTACTTCTTTCTGTTTACCATTTACTAGTGAAAGAGTAGGCAAAATAAATCATTTAATATGGAGTTATGGGGCTCTACTGTGTGTTGTGTATTGTGAATTCAAAGATGACTAAAACAGAATCTTTTATAATTCAGTAAGGAGATATGCAAATAGCCTATTACAGTGCTAATAGATAATTGCTGTACAGGTGCAGTAACATAGGAAGATAAGAACTGCAATCTGAGGGCTGGCCATATAGCTCAGCAGACTAAGTGCTTGCTTAGGTAAGCCCAGGGGCCAGGGTTTGATCCCTGGCACCTCATGCTGTGTCAGCCCACCCCTGGTTGCACTGAGCCGGTGATGGAGTCCGGGAGTGGTGGCACACGCCTGTAATTCCAGCACTAGGGAGGCAGAAATTAGGAGGCTCAGTACAAGTCTGAGCAGCATAGTGAAACCCTGCACACACACACACACACACACACACACACACACACACACAAACACACACAAACAAACCTGCAGTCTGCTAGGGGAACTCATTGGTGTCTGTATGGTAAAGATGGGTATAGGCATGGTAGCGCATGCCTGTAATCCCAGCACTTGGGAGGTGAGGCAGGAGGATTGCTGCAAGTGTAGGCAAGCCTCGGCTACATAAAGAGTTCAAGGCCAACCTACACTATACAGCAAGACCCTGTTTCGAAAAAAGAAAAGAAAACGTGGGCTTCTCTGCCATAAAGTAGGATAAGCGCGAGACATTCCTAGGTAAATGAATGCACCTGAGGCCATATTGTTAAGTGAAATACATAAGATGCATATGTGTAAATACCACATTGGTTTTCTGGTGTGAGAAACCGAAAGTGTAAATAAGGACCAAGATGTATAATAGGTATTGTGGAATAGGAAATAAATGTTCAAATAGGGAGGAAAGAAGGGCGGGGGCAGGAGGAAAGGAAAGAAGGGAAAAGTAAAATGAAATAAAATAACAGAAGGAAAAAATGGAAGCAGTGCTTTGTAAATAGGGGAGGAGGGGTTGAAGGGAGGGTAGAGGAATGAGAAAAGAAAAGGAGTCAAGTTATATCATGGACAGGTACAAATTCTCTATGATGAATGTGATCATTTTGTAGATCTAAAATGTACTAATATGGGCTGGGGAGATAGCTCGGTGGTCTAAGCGCCTGCCTGGGAAGCACAAGGACCTGGGTTTGATCCTTGATACTGACGGCCCTGGAACCCCAGGCACACCATACCCGACCCTAGACTCGGCATGGTAGCGCATGCCTGTAATCCCAGCATTGGGGAGGCTGAGACAGTAGGATCACTAAGAGTCTGAACTGTGTAGCGAGACCCTGTATCAAATAATTAATTTTTTAAAAAATAATGTACCAGTACAATCTGATTGAAGAAAAAACAAGATAAGGTGGGTTTGAGCTAAAAAAGTAAAGATTGAGCTTCCCAAAAAAGCAGTGATTTGCATGTGACATCAGAGTTGCTCCCTGTTGCACTTTCTGCTTGGTTGCTAGACCCTACTTTAGAGCCTAGTATATTGTACCTGTTACAATCAAAGGTTACAATGAAACATAGTATAGGATGCAGTTCATTCATTTCTTTCCTTTTGGGGAGGCTGATTTCATCATTACTTTCTTGAGAAGCTGAGAGACAGTTTAGGCATTGTTAGTAATTTCTACGTGAGAGGTGACTAGCAAAGATTTAGGAAAGGCTGCCTAGATTGGTGATGCATTCCTGTAATCCCAGCACTGTAGCACTGAGGCAGAAGGGTGGCAAATTTGAGCCCAGCCTAGGCAATGTAGTAACTTAACAAGACCCTGTTACACACAAAAAAGAAGAGAGCTTGTTGCAAAGGTCCTGTGTTTGATATTGAGCATGATAGAGATTGAGTCCTTGCCACAAACAAGCCCATCCAGCACGTGTAAGTTGTATGTGTTAGATGGTGTTAACCCCATCTTGTACGTGAGGAAGCTGAGGATAGTAAAGTTAAGAAGCTGTCCCAGGATTTTATAGTTTGTGAGTAAGGAAATACGGATTCAAACCCAGCATAGGCCACAGTTGTGCCTATGCTGTGCTGAGCCCCTTGTTTCCATTTCTAACTCTACTATCTGTGCAGTAGGATTAGGTAATTTAAAATTGCATGGCCTTAATTATCTTAATTGGTGCAGTATATTTGATGAGTAACTGAGATTGAGGATTTTTGAACCACAAATTCTTTTTTTTGGTCTTTTTAAAAATCTATTTATTTATTTGGTACACGGCATGCAGTACTGGGGTTCAAACCCAGGTCCTTGCACTTGCCAGGCGGGCACTGAGACCACCAAGCTATCTACCCAGCCGCTTGTTTGGTCATTTTGACACAGAGTCTCACTATGCAGTTCAGGCTGGCCTCAAATTGTCTTTGTATCTCATCATGGCCCCAAATTTGTAGTGATCCTTCTGTGTTAGCCTTCTGAGCGCTAGGATTACAGGCATGCGCCGCCACCCCCGAACTCAAGAACCTTGAGTTCTTCAGGTTCTCCTACTAGTCCCTATTTATAATTTAAAAAACTAAGCTTCCTAGAATTCTGAGAGCAACTACTGAGAGGTGTCACTAAGATTTAAGTCTATATTTTCAGATTCTGAAGTGTTGGTTGCTCCTCAATTTAAATATCCAAACTGCAGACAAACAAAGCAAGGAGCTCTCTTTTGGCCCTCTGATTAAATGAGCTTTCTGTTCCTTCAGTGCTCTCTGTTCTTTAGTCCAGTCCTACCAAGCATTACTGTAATTGTCTGTCTTTTGCACTAGGCCAGTGGTGAACCTATAGTACATGTGT